CCGTGGACCCTCAGTTCCTCCCGCCTGTCTGCCGGGACCACTGCAGCTGGAACCTTCACCCCACAACTGATTCTCTCACTCAAGCCGAGCCAGGCTCTCCACACGCCGGCAAGAGGATGGCGAGCCGAGGGGCTGCACTCTGGTCCTGCCAGGACACCGGGATCGGCCGCAGCTGACCGCTCTCACCTAGTCCAGCAAACTCACTAAGGGGCCTAAGGAGAGGCTCGGGCTTGTGGGGCAATAAGAAATCTATGTATTGGTCTCTGCCCCCAGTTCCTGTTAAAATGTGGACCCCACTCCTGACACAGACGTCCTACGTCCTGTGCAATTCCCTGGGTGATGGGAGCGAGCGTCTTTTGTTCTACTTACTGAGGCGATTCTGGGTGGGCTCCCGGGTGGGGGCTGGTTACTAGAAAGACCAAGCCATGATTACAGCCAGGAACTTTCCGCCCGACCCCCATCCTCCAGAGGGGAGAGGGCCTGGAAAATTAGTAACTGATCACGCCTACATGAGGACGTCTCCATAAAAATCCTCAAAGTATGGGGTTCAGAGAGAGCTCTGGGTTGGTGAAGACACCCATGTGCCAGGAGGGTGGTGCACCCCAACTCCATGGGGCAGAAGCTCCCGTACTTGGGACCCTTTGCGGAACCCACCCTGTGTATTTCTCTGTCTGGCTACTCAACTGTGTCCTTTATCATATACTTCATAATCAACTGGAAAACATAAGTGTTTCCCGGAGTTCTCTGAGCCAATTATCAAACCCGAGGAGATACCAGAACTGCAAGGTACAGCAGCTCGGTCAGAAACACAGGTGACGACCTGGACTTGCGACTGGCACCTGAAGTGGGGGTGGGGGTGGGGGCAGTTTTATGCGTGGCCTGTGCTAACTCCAACTCCCGCCAGGATTGAACTGAACTGTAGGACACCCAGCTGGTATTGCAGAATTGGATGGTGTGGAAAAACCACATATTGAGTGTCAAAATGTTGTGAGTGGAAGGTACAGAGATTTCCCAAATGCCCCCTGCCCCCCCACTCGCACACCCTCCCCCATGATCAACACCCCCCACCAAAGTGGTACCTTTGTTAGAACCATGAACCCAGGCTTTACATTAGGGCTCATTCTTGGAGCTGTATACTCTCTGGGTTTGGACAAATGTATAATGACAGGGATCTACCGTTATCATAGCATACAGAGCATTTTCCCTGCCCTAAAAATCCCCTGTGCTCTGCCCACTCAGCCCTCCCTCCCTCTAGCATCTGGCACCCGCCGGCTGATCTTTTCACTGCCTCCACAGCTTTGCCTTTTCCAGAATGTCATGCAGTGGGAATCAGACAGTGTATGTGGCCTTTCCAGATTGGCTTCTCTCACTTAGTCACACACATTTAAGGTTCCTCGTGTCTTATTGTCGTTCGACTGCTCATTTCTTTTTAGTGCTGAATAATATTCCATTGTCTGGATGGCCCTCGGTTTGCTGATCCATTCGCCTACTGAAGGACGTCTTGGCTGTTTCCAGATTTTGGTGATTGTGACTACAGCTGCTGTAAACATCCACGGGCAGGTTTTCAGCTCATTTGCGTAAACACCGAGGGGCAAGACTGCTGGGAAAAGCACACGTGTACGGTAACCACATGTGTAGTTTTGTACGCAACTGCTGCACGGTCTTGCAGAGTGGCTGTGGGATTTTTTGTTTTTTTAAAATATATCTTTACTGATTTCAGAGAGAGGAAAGGAGAGGGAGAGAGAGAGAAAAACTTCAATGATAAGGGAGTCATTGATCAGCTGCCTCCTGCACGCCCCCTGCTGGGGATCGAGCCCACAACCGGGGCATGCGGCCTGACCGGGAATCGAACCACGATCTCCTGGATCCTAGGCCGACGCTCAACCGCTGAGCCACGCTG